AAGGGGACCCGGAGATTCGCGCGTCAAGTTGGTGCCGCCCCTTCCACGATTCACAATCAATTGGCAGACGATTTCCGGGTCTTTTAGATAGATCTTTGCCTACGAGAAACCCGCAGTACTATAAGGTACCGTACGGAGTATACACCGTACTCGTAATTCGGGGCGGTGTTAGGAAGGGGCGAAAGGGCAACCTACACAGTACATTGATGATTGATGAAGGGATGGGTGTGTAGGATGGCTTGGATTGGATCCCCTCCCCAAATTTACCATCTCTTGCAGGCGACTATTTCGTGTGCAAGGTAAGGTACATACCTTTTTGTAAGTACCTGTTCGGGTTGTCTTGTACGGCAGAGGACATGCGGGCAGAACTGCCGCGGCCCACGGACGAAAAGATAGGAGACAGGGATGGATGGCCAGGTCTCGCAAGTGTGGAATGCCCGCCCGCTAAAGAGGACGCGCCGAAGAGAAGGCGCGGGCGGGCGGCGGGCGAGTGGGAGTGGCAGAAGTGGTTCAGAAACTGGAAGTCTTGGGTGGGCTCAGAGTCATTGAGTGTAAGGTGATGGTTGTGTCGCGGCTCAGGAACCGGCGCTGCTTGTGCACTGTTGCTGCCGAGACCCCTGACTAGTAGGAAGCATTAGCCGGATGCTGATAGGAAAATACCTCGATGAAACGGGTCAAATCGAATGTGTTGGTGTGAAATGTCTTGAACTGACGTAGTGGGCTACTACGCCACGGGATCAAGCCGTTTCTTTTTGGTCCCCGCTGCGTCAACTGGAGCCCAATCTGCTAGTCAGGAGCTTTGGAAAGTTCCTTCTTTCACTGAAGATCCCGGCGTAAACGGCTGCCTCTACCCGTCGATTCTCTTAATTTTGAAATCCTATTGGCAATATGGACAAGACGGAGTAGGTATGCAAGTATACATCAGATACATCCATCGAGTTTATCTCTGCAGCTGGCAACAACTGTGAATACATACTTAGGTAAGGTACTATTACCTTAGTCGTCAACCACGCGGCATAAACCGCCATTTTGTTTCCCACCTCAGGCGCATGCTATTCTCATTTCCAACCCGCACCTGGTCGTTTCCACCCCTGGACCGCATCAACTCACCTCTGGGCCTCATCTCCAACTCTGATTACCTGATATGCAACCAAATCTACAAAGTACTTTCCAATCTGCGCCGTCTGGTCGTCGTCGTCGTCGTCGTCACCTTGTTGATTAGCGCAGCTTAAGCCCCGAAAGAGTCTTCATGTAGGTCTCGGACATGTGCCAGATGAAATGAACATGCAAAGATGAGAACAAAGGAAAAGCCCAAGTCTTCTAGGCGTCTTCCATGAACCGGTAGAGCTGAACCCGTCCAGGGAAAGAAGCATTCCATTCCGCACGTCTCCTCATTTCAACAGCTTTCCCCGCCCCCGAAACAAACCTGGACCGGCGGGAACCCTGAATCTTTGGTCGCTCATTTTTTTTTTCTCGCAGCTTAAATTACCTTACAGTCCATGTCACGCTGGTAAACTTCTTGAAACATGCAGTCTCTGCCCCCGCTCGATGCAGAATATTCCCGACGTCTCCAAAGTCAATGTTCCAGAGTACCTGCGGTACAGATACACTCCACTTTCTTTTTCTTTTTCATTACAGAGTCCGGACTATTTGCTTTGTTTTTGCTTCCGTAGAGAGGTAAATGAAGGCGACGTGAAGGTTGCACACATCGGTGTCATGGCAGCTGTGCGACAATGCCACTGGCTTTCACCTCTGCAGGAGCTTGCAGGCGGCAGTGCGATAAGAGGCGCTAGAGACGCAGGAAGCGGCAACTGGATAATAGCACCAACAACGACGCAGCCCAAGTCGTCACCCAGACGTTGCGCACAGCGACCAGCGGCGGCTGCGCGCTATCTCGATCGACTTGCAGCTTGAGAGAGAGAGAAAGAGAAGTGGGAACTTGGAAGCAGACACTAGAGATTGGTGGTTCAGATGGCGGATGGCTTGGGAACACCCGACTACCTACACTAGCGCAAGGGAGGAGGGCGGACAGTTTCGTGTGGCAACCGGTCGTGGTCGTCTTACTGGCCAGTGCTTCTCTGGGTTTCTGGTGTTTCTCCTCCTCACCATTGGTTTATCTTGCGGCACCATAGCTCACTGGCATCTCTTGCTTGCATCGTTTGACCTGGCTGTTTTCTTTCTTGGGCGGCTGCGGCTGGCGGCGTTGGTTCGTTGCCACGTTCACGGTTGACAGTTCCCCAACTGTTTGGGGCGGGATGCAGCGCAACTCGCAGCTGCATTTTGTCAGCGGGGACTTTCAGCTGGCAATTGCCCGCTGAAAACGTCCAGTGGCGGCTTCCCGGCTTTGCAGCCGCCGGCCGGTCCAAAATAATTGCCTTGATGCCGTGGCTGATGCTCTCTCTTGGTTCCCTCTGCACATCCAACCGCGTTTGCATTCGCGACCACATGCCACGCCCAAGGGGCTTCGGACTTGGCAGCATTCAGCAGAAAGCATCAGTTGTGCCATCCGATATTGGTACTGCTTCCTATAATGGGCCACCTGGAAACTGCAGGTTTTTTTTCCAAGCCTCCAGGGACGAAGGATGTTGCTTCCGAGCCTTCATTCTCCGTGTTTGACTTGATAGCGCCCATCGAGACCCGTTTACTTGACGGATACATCCCTGGTTGATGTCATGATGGATCTGGTCCCGTCCCACCTTCATCTGCCATCTCACCGGCTAAGGTAGCGACTACTGCGTACGTGTAGAGACAGACGTCCCACTCGGTGCAGGACCCAGCTGGACAGTGAGATGACTATGCCAAGGACTGAAGCGTCCCCCTAAGTCCACCTTAGCGATTCCTTCTTGGAACAAAATTTTTGACAACGACCGCGAAGCCAGTCTCTAGCTTGGTGTGCTAGTCTAGATCTAGACAAAAGTTCGGGTCTCGGTATTGTCCGTATACTGCCTCCACATCTGTTCTCATATCACGTCTAACACGACACCTTCGCGATGAATTTGGCACGGTCCGAACTCGCAGTACTGCCTAAGAAGCCTTCGAGAGTCTGGAGCCTCGGCCAGATACCGCCTTAGTCGAAGCGCTACCTGTTTCTAGTATCTCCTATAAGCATCCAAACCCTTATATGCCTTTGCGGTATCGACCGTCTTGTGGACTATGCAGTATACCTTGACGTCGAAGTTCACGGCAAAGGGCCACCCCAGGCACTACAGAGAGCATTTCACGATGATTTTCGTCGAAATTTCGAGAATATCCAGGGCATGTGGTGCAAATTGGGTGTGGCTTAAGCTTCATTGTGCCCCACATGGTGCCACTGCTCATTTGCTCTTCGATTTGCCATTGGTTTCGAGTTGAAGTCTAGATATCAGTCTTGGTCACCAAGCTGAAGAGCATGCTTGGTCCCTTGGCTCTCCACAGCTATCTCGATAAGCTTTCAAGCACCATGAGCCGATCGGTTGGCAGCATCCACAAGTGGGATCGCAAAGGGCTTTGGACACGGCTAAGACTCTTCCTTTTTACGCTGGCCAAAGACAAGAAGCCACTGGACATAAAATAGGAACGAGCCTCGTTACTAGCATGGATGGAATAGCCATGCTTTACTCGACAACCTGGTAGAATTAGGCCGAGATGTATCACATGTTCGACCGAGTGCCTCATCTCCAGTTCGATAGATTTCAGCAAGCCTCGAGGCTACATGATCGTTCGGAGTAAACGATGAGCATTTCAATATGGCAGTCATTTGTCCTTGGTACCATACCTCGTATAAGCCAGATAATCGGGATCACCGGGCTGTAGGCCGTAGCAATCTGCCACAATACCCGGTGAAGTCCACACGCCAAGGTCCTAAGCGCAGGTAAGAAAAGAAAGAGCTGCGGATTGGTTTCGCAATCCGATCACACGAACGAAGGTCTCGGGTCAGAAGCATGTCAATGATGCATGGAAGAGGCAGGAACCGTACGGGAAAAGCACCGCCAAAACAGCCCGAGCGCTTCTCCGAGAACACCCCAGACGTCACCTCACGACTTTGTCGAGGACCGAGCACGATCCTAGTTCTAGAGATTGTGGAGAGTTCCCTAATGCAGTTGCAGAGACAGCCCTACAATGCCAAACTTCGGACGGCGAGGCAAAGACGTCAAAAAGCAGGAAATATCGGGCGGGCCACAATCGGATGATGATCTGCTTGGGAGGCCGTTCGCAAGCTGCGACGGATTCGGGATGATGTCGAACTTGTTTCCTCGCTGCAAAGCCGTGAGGCCTGTTCGCTCGGCCATTCCGAGTTATTTTCAACCTCGGATGTCAGTCGTGGCCAACTGCGAAAGACATCTGAGCTGGCCTGGCTTAGGACTTGAATCAACTCCCCTTCATCATAGTTGTGAGGGTGACTGAACAGGTCATGAACACATGCTCGTCTGAACCCATGTGTACTAAACAAGCATCGTCTCGCAATCGCTGCTCTATAATATTCAGAATCTCCTTGGCATCTGCTTCTTCCACGGTTGGCAATCGTCACTATGTTGTATGTTGATGATATTCTTGTACTTTCCACCTCCCTGAGACCCCAACAAGAGACGAACCGTCGAAGAAGTTTATAATTTGTGACAGAATAACAGCCCAGATGATTTTCCTTCTGTTTAGGAACCGAGGTATCTTTCTCGAGGCCAAATAGTTATGAGTATCCCATGCTCTCAACCCGTCCCCATCAACCTGTTCGCCACCACACGTGTAGTTCATCTCGTATCGCAACATGTTGCTTGCTACATCTCGCATGTACCCTCTACAGACAATGACGGCATTCTAAACTCGGCCGAACATATCCTTTGTTCCACATATACATTTATTCTTATACCTTGACTTGGAAATGTGGCAAATTAGAAAAGAGGCTACGAAATCAAGCCCACAAGCCTCACACCACGCGCCGACAGTCGTAGACAGACAATGTCAACGACGTATCATCGCGTCGCGCAATATTGTGGCTGTGACGAGAGATATCGTCCAATACCCATTCAAACGATACGATGACAACGACGACGACGACGATGGGGTAGGTCTCCCATGTCGTGTAACCCCAAAGTCATGTCACCCAGGCAATAGGAGTCAACAGTACAAGTCCGGTGTGATGATGTGTGCTGTACTGGGCCTCTCCCCACCACAACAAGCTTACTGACATGCATCAAGAGCATGAATAACTGACCCAAGAAAATGGTTAGATAGAAAATGACAAAAATAACAGTAAATCCCTGTGGCTCAAAACAAAACAAAAAGTCGACTCGACCCCGCAACCTATTGCACGCAAGAAAAAAAAAACAAGCTATCCATGGCATTATGTAAGACCGTGAGCCAACATATGTTCTTTGCCAGAATTCGTACCGCTCGGCCATCGACTACAACGGACGGTGCTTGTTGATGAACTGGTCCGTCTTTGGTGCCGATAATGGAAGCCATAGGGATGAGAGCTCATCAAGGGCGAGTGCGTGTTGTTACGGTGGAATACACAATGGACGGCAGACATCATGAAGACAAAACAAGAGCACCAATCAAAGAGCTCTGCCGCAATTCATGTTTCGAAACATGCAGGGGCGGCTGTGGCTGACGTGCGGCTCGGCGATTGGCAAAGAGTTGACGCGTCCACATGTTTTCTCACGGGCTGCTGATTACTAGCGAAGACTATGCTCGTGGAGGGAGGTGAAATGTAACCAATGCGGGTATCTCTATTATGCATGAATCCAATGCTGAACTACACAACGTATTTTTCTTGGTTCGCTGACTCGTCATGCTACCCTCTTCGTGAATGTAGCTGCGCATCATCTCACGCAACCGAAGAAGGGGCCCCAGTATCGGGCTTATGAGCCTCCAACATCAAAGCTTTGTACCTGCCTTGCAGAACCTCCTTCGGCAGCGTGTGCAGAATCTCGTTTCGCAGCCGCTTCTTGTCGAACGACAGCTTTTCCAACTTGAGAGCCTCCAGAATGTAGCTCACGACCGTGTTCGTCTGGAGCGGCGGGTCTCGGAGGACCTTGGCAACGGCCTCGGGCGTGAGGTCCTCGTTATCGTTCCAGATGAAGTAGGCTCGTACGGCGGAAGGTGAGGCGTGGAGGGATTTGATGGTGGTCCGGTAGCTGGCCAGCTTCTCATCGGCAGCAACGACCCTGGCATCCTTTTGGCGCTTCTGGGTTGGAGCAGCCAGTTTGGCGGCTCTCACGCTCTCGGCGATTGATTGACCCTCGCCATCTGCCTCAACTTCGAGACTGTCTCTGATTGCTTGGCACTCCGAGGCCGACAGAGGTGCTGAGATGTTGCGCGGGTCAGCCTCCAGAGGTTCAATATTCTCTTCTGCCATTGGGAGGGTGACACCGTCTGCGAGCCGGATGTTCAGGCCGAGCTCAGCATTATACGGGAGCGGCGGAGTTGGATCGAGGCTCTTGCGCTTCCCATTGAGAACATGGAATAGTTGAAAGCCGGCATAGGCATCTGAAGCAGAGTCTAGGCAGAGTTAGCAAGCAGTAGAGAAAAGTTTCTGCTAACACTTACACATGAGCTGGTCCATGTTCAGGGACTGGGACCAGTCACTCGACCGGACATCCTGCCCCTTGAACATGGGAAGACCAAGGTGTTCCTTGACCATTGTAGCCAGAGGTACAGGCCTCCTGTTGATCAGTCTCACTTCGCCACTTGCTGAGTACTTCACAAGCTTATACATATGGCTCAACTCGAAGACTCCCCTCGTATCGACCTGCAGATGGTTTCGTATCCGCGTACAGTCACCCTTGATGTTCACGCCGACCTTTCGCACATCCGAGTCCTCCATGATCTTCCGAAATGTCGGAGCGACAAAGTCGTCGGTGGGAAATAAGGCAATGTGAAATAGAGCGATCCGACTCTCGTTGGCGACCTGGATCAAGGAAACATTCTTCTTCGGACCCGAGGTCTTCTTCGCATCCGGGAACCACTCGAGGTCGAACCCAAGGACTGAATCATTCACAAAGTATTGACATACTCTCTCCATGGTGTGTTTGGTCTTGCAGTAGTGCACCTTGACCTTTTGCTCGGCCCCGTCTACCGATGGTCCTCGAAAGAGTGTGTAAGACCAGAATGAGTCTCCCGTGTTCTCTTTTGCAGCTTGGGCTTTCCGGAATGCCGGCAGAGGGATCTTGAAATCCAAGTCTGTCTGCGGAGGATCTGCTGGCTCTGTAGCCGCCTTCGTCTCAGCCTCAGCCTTGCCCTCCTTCGGACCCCCTGCGGTCTCTGCTTGGAGCGTCTGGGCAGTGGGAACGTTGTCTAGCGCGGGCTGGTACTCCGGAGCGGTGTAGAAAGGCAGGTCATCGCTGTCAGAGTCGATAATCTCGTTATTCGGCTTCGTCGCGACTGAGGGCTGGCTGTTGTCTGGCGTCGTGGTGTGGAGAGAACGCAACATGTCCACTCGAGGATGGGATGTCTCGTTCTGACTCGCTTGGCCGAAGACGATGCCTCGAATGGGGTTCCATAGTCTGGCGTAGGAAGAAGGATACATTGTTGATTTGGAACGTCTGCGAGTCGTCGATACTGTCAGTAAAAAGCCAAGGGCAGCTTGCAGTTCGGTGAAAAGGGTGTTCATACGTTTGGACCAGCATCGACCTCGGCAAAAGTCGATGATTATATAGAATAGAACTGCTGCGTCTAGGGAAGCTCATCACCGCTACTCGCAGGTGCATCTGAAGGGGGAGTGAAGCGCCATATTTGCCACCGGGCATTGGCGCGACAAAGTGAAGAACGGGATTCTTCAGGCAGACGCGTCGTGGGTGATGGAGGGGTTCAATTAAAGTACGGAGTAGGCTTTGTACGCGCCCAGTTGGCGGCAACGACAGCTGGGAGCTCCGGTGATGTGGCTTAGTCATTCACAGCTCATCGCGCAGTCACCTGACATGGGCCGTTACGCTCACCCCTCCGGCCTAAGTGCACGACGTCCATCTTGAACAGCGACGTTTTGGTCAGGTAAAGAACCTTCGTTTGGTGTATCAAAACGACCATCATTTCGTTCGACGACTTTAATCCCTGCGGAACCCCTATAAGGAGACTTCAAACGTGAAGATTTCAGAATCTCCACCAGATTCAAAGATTTAAGCGGCAAAATGGCGTCGCAACTGCTCCCTCTGGGTGAGTGGACAAGCCCATGAATGCAGATCGTCGAAGCTGACGAAGATAGAACTTATCGACAAATGTGTTGGATCGAGGATCTGGGTTGTTATGAAGGGTGACAAGGGTACAGCTGACCATCAAGGGCTCGAGTGAACCTGATCTGCTGACTCAAATGATGGCAGAATTCAGCGGCACGCTCCTGGGTTTCGATGACTACGTCAGTAAGTAAATCTTGAATGTTGCGCTACCCATGACTGGAAATATCTAACGAGAAAACAGACATGGTGTTGGAGGACGTGACAGAATTGTATGTGGCCGTTTTGACGGAAACGTATACCCCTGCTAACTACGGCCTAGCGACTACTCTGGCAACCACACAAAGCTTCCCAAGATCCTGCTGAACGGCAACAACATTTGCATGGTACGTCACGTTTCCTATTGGGTTTTCTAAGAGAGGGGAGGAGAGAGACTGATGATGAGCAGCTCATTCCTGGAGGAGAGGGTCCGGTGACCGCATGAAGAAGTTTGGACAAGGGTCGCATTTGAGCAGAGGCAGCCGCTCTTCAAGATCATAGATAGACTAGGTTCATGATTTCTATAACCTAAAGGATGGCATGAGGGAGGCACCAGGGGTGGTACGAGCAATGCCATGACGGCTGAAGGCGTTGACTCGCTACCCAAGGAGACAGCACCAAAGAGGGCTTCAAGGGACTGGGCATACACATAAAAAATGTCACGTAGGGAGCCTTTCAGAGCATCGCGAAATTGACGACGTAATGCGCAATGATCAACTTTTTCTAATCCGAGGCCCTATCTCAGCCCGGAATGCGAAAACCAATATGACGATTCCCCATGCCAAACTTCGGTATCAGACCGTTATTCCGTAATGACCTTATCCGCCTAACGCCCAGAGGAAAAATCCCACGCGAGATGTAAACCATCGTCTCGTATGTCCGCCTTACTGGCCCTGCTGATTCGAACGGCCGGCCTCGACCATGCGACGAAGCTCGAACTCGCGAGTAAACTCGCGACTGAGGTGGGACAAGTCCTGCATGAGCTTCTTGATGACCTGTACCAAGGCTTCCTTGGCGGTGATCGTGCCGTCTGTCTGGACTCGAATGAACATCTCGGGAACGTTTGGATGCGCGACTGTGACAAAGATTTAGTATGCGTGACGCTGGTTGGAGGGCAATGCGCCTTACTCTTGTAGCCCGCCATGAGGACGTTCTTGTGCATCTTCAGGTGCTCGGACAGGAGGTTGCCAAGAGTGTGGTCCTCCTTCTTGATGACGAAGTCGGACGTGTTGGACATTCCTGGGAGGCGTTTAGCTTGGCCGAATGGCTAGGAAAATGGTTGAAGGGTGTACAAATCGTACCAGAGAAGACATTCTCCTCGATCTTCTTCTCGCCTTCACCGAGCAGGAAGAGCTCGAAACTATGAAAGAGTTAGTTCAATTTCCGGGTTCCGTTTACTCGCAAAGAGACGCGCCGAGGAGGAAGGTTCTCAGATTGGGAAGACATGATGTGGCTCAGATGCGTTGAGAGAGGGTGGTTCTGGAGTCTGGGAGTCTTTGATATGCCTGATAAAGCAGTGATGCGATGGTTTATGTGCGTGGAAAAACAGGAGCAATGTTGAAATGCAGGATAGAGATTTAAAGACGTAGTTCCGTGCCTTGCGAAGGAGCCTCTGGCAGAGCCCGGCAAGGAAACCAGGAGAAGACCATGGCCACCTCCTCGAGGGTGACGGGAAGGGTGACGGGAAGGGAAGCCTGAAGGGAATCATAACAAGGTGAAGCCGTTTCGAGTCCGTCTTCCGACCAGGCAGACATAGACTCCCTCCAAATCTCACACAACAAAAGCGTGAAGATTGTCTCACCGATCAGGCGCGTTCATCTTGGTGATTCGTGATAGTAAAGGGGAGGGTGGAGTCGGTTGTAACGAGACTTTGAGGACAAAGCTGAAGACAATGCGTAGTTGGAGATAACTGAACGCAGAATACCGAAGTGAGACTCTATTATGGTTAGTGGAACGTTCTTTCATGACGAGGAATTGATGACTACCTTTTGGTTGGTAATGTGATTGAATTTGAGAGTTCAGCCGGGGTATGAGAGATGCTGGTGAGTGAGTTGGACGTGGTGAAGCTCAGGCTCCTTCTCAGTAAAGATGGGCTGGAGTCCTAGGTAGTGGGTCCTAGAGATTTAGGCTGCGCCACAGATGTACAAATGTGGCGGTGCATAAGCTATTACGACCTTCCACGTCTTCCTTGA